TTAACTAGTTGCAGACATGGGGGCCACATTCAAACACCACCACCACCCCCGCCAAAGGCAGCTAATTTTAGCCCTGCCTCTCTTTCCACTTCAACAGGTTGGGCAAACCCAGGAAATGGGCCGATTCAGTAACCGGGTTCAGCCAGCTGTGTGAGTACAGCTGGGCTTGTCGTCCCCCTCCCCCCGCCTGTGCTGATCTGGGGGGGGGGGGCGGTCCAGGGAGCAGAGGGAGTCCTGGGACCTTTCACCCACCTGTGGGCTTGGCACCAGTGGCATCAGCGTCTTCTTGCTGGGGGCAAAAGAGAAGGACAAAAGTCAGGGGGCTCCCGACTCGCCCTCACCCCCCCCCCTCTCCTGCCTCCTTCCCACGGAGACCCCTTTGGTGGGAGGGAGAGGGGGGTGGGGCGTCATTTTGCTGGTCTGACTTGAGATTGATTGGCACCTGGCATCCCACCGCCACACAGCCAGGGCAGGCAGGTATGGCCAGCCACAGGAGCAACGGAGCTGGGCGATGTTTTTTTGGGGGGGGAGGACAGGGGCTGCATCCTGCCACCCTGCTTCCACCAGCTGACGTGCAGCTGACAGGCCTTGCCCTCCAATGGGAAAGGGGTGGGAAAGTCCACTTGGGGGCCCCCAGCCAGACTCACCTGCCCAGGGGCTTCCTCCTTCTTTGGAACGACCTTCTCGCTTTGCTCCGCCACTCTCCTTCTGGGAGGGGAGGACAGAAAGAGGCTAAAGCCCATTTCCCCGAAGGGTCCCTCTCTGCAGAGACCACCGGCCTGGGTTTAAAAGCATGCGGGGGAGGGAGCCAATGCAGACCCAGCTGGGCAAGGCGTCCTGCAGGCCGTGGGCTGTATGGGAGACCCCAGACCCCTCTCTAGGCCGCCCAGGCTCTGCAGCAGAAATGCTGACTTTCTGGAACACAAGATTATTTTTTTTATGTTACAGCCCCCCCCCTCCCCAATCCCTTTTGATGCCGGCTGTCCTCCCAATGGGTTACCCTCCCAGACCTGTGCCCACTCACCGCCTGGCTAACTTGGCACTCATTTCTTCCATCAGCCCCCCTCCCCCGGGAGCAGGTGGGGGGGCTCCTCCACCAGGGGTGGGCTTGGCCCCTTCCTCCTGCGAAAGAGGGAAGATGGGGGGAGTGAGGGGCCTCTCCCAAACCAGGATCCCCCCCAACGCGCAGCCCCCTCCCACAGTCTCCAGTGCCAGGGGCCCCCAAGAGGAAAGGTACCCCAAGGGGCTGCCCATGTCACGTGGCCGACGGGGGTCCTTGTGTGGGGCCCCCAGAAGGTCTTCTGGCCCCCTGACTCACCTTGCCCGACTTCTTCAGCTTTGCTCCGGCCAGTGCTGCGGCCAAGCCGGTGGGCGGTCCGGCCCCTCCGCCGGGGCCCAGGGAAGCAGGGAGGGGAGGGGCTGGGGGCGGCCCCCCTCCTGAGGTCAGAGGTGGTGGGCCCGGCGGAGGGGGTGGCCCAGGAGGAGGGGGAGGGCCACTGGGGGCTCCCGGTGGTGGCCCTGGAGGTCCCGGGGGCGGCCCAGGGGGAGCTGGAGGTGGTCCCGGGGGCGGCGGAGGGCCCCCCGATGGAGGGGCGACCTGAGGGGCTGCAGCAAGAGAAGCAGAGAGAGAAAGATGGGAGCCCCCAGCTGTGCCAGCTGTGCCCCCTTTCCAAAAGCTGGAAACGAATAGGAAACCCAACACCTCTCCTCCCCCACCCCTGCACCAAGGACCCTCTTCCCCCGCCAGCCCCTGCGTCTGCCAAGCACCCCGTGGCGGAGGGGCACAACCGGTCCATTCTTTGGGCCTTCCGAGCAGCTGCCCCCAGGTCTGGATGCCGGATTCTCCGCCCCACCCTGCCCTTGGCCACCCAGGGGGAGGCCCCCTACGGTAGGGATCCGCAACTGTGGCCACTTTTAAGACTTGTGGACTTCAATTCCCAGAATCCCTCTTTCCTTTGCAAAGCCGGCTGAGGAATTCTGGGAGTTGAAGTCCGGAAGCCAAGGTCGGGGACCCCTGTCCTAAGGTCCCCCTTGCAGAGCTGCCGGGGGCTTCCCCAGTTCCCATCCTGGGAGCCTTGTGGGGGGGAGGGGCAGGCAAGGGGCCGAGGCCCCCACCCGCTCTGGCACCCACCTCCGATGGGCCCCCGTCGCTCTGGCTGCTCCGGCGGCTCCTTCTCCAGCTGCTGTGGGTGCCTGGGATGAAGAGGGCAGAAGAGGCCTCAGTGCCTGCCGGCAGCCTCCCCCCTCCCAGCAGGCCTCCTGCTCCCAAGCCCCCAACCCCACCCCCTTGGCCCTCCGCAGCAACACACTCACTTGGGCAGTGGGGCGGGCGCCTCGGGCAAGAGGCTGGAAAGGGGAACGCCACACATCGCCAGGGGGGACGAGGTGGAGCGCATCCGACCCAGGGGGCATTTGCCCCAGCAGGCAGCCCGGCAAGCCGATTAGCTGCTAATCTGATCAAGGAGGGCCTACACACACACACACACACACACACACACACACACACACAGACATCCTCCCTCCCTCCCTCCCTCGCTTTCTGCTCTGGGCAATTCCTCTGGCCTCTTAAGCAGGCACCAAAGGGAGACCCTCCGTGTGCAAGGTTGGCTTGGAGCCAGACCTGGGGGAGGGGGGGCTCCTGCGGACCCTGCTCTCTCCCCCCCCCCCACAAAGGGGAAGCCCAGCCCCTTCCACTCTGGGAAAGGAAAGGTTTTGTTTTTTTTTTAAGTGTGTGGCTTGTTCAAACAAAAGTAAGTGAGGACAATACTCCCTTTTCTTCCCTTCTGCTCCTATCCGAGACCATCGGATGAAGTAAGAGAAACTTCCTCCTTGTTGTAAGGAACTTCTCCCTCCCCACATCCTCCACACACACACACACACCCCGGCAACTTTTAAACCTCTCAGGGCTTCCTGTACCTTTTCTGCTGCTCGGCCAGATCATCTGCGGTGGGTCCGTTCTGGGTGGGGCGCAGGGGGGGTGCAGAGTTTCCTGGGGAGACGCAACCCGCCCAAAAAACATTGGCCCCCAACTGTCCCACCACCGGCAGTTCAGCTCTTCTTCAGACCCTGCAGCCCCCCCCCTCTGCCAGTTTTGAGACCCCCCCCCCAAGATGGAACCTACTACTAACCCACCCACCCCTTTTGGGGAGAGGCGCAGGGAGGCTGGTTTCTCTTGCAGAGCCTGGATGGGGCCCCTTGGAGCCTCTTCCCCTGGCTCAGCTGCCCCCCCCCCATCCCCAACCACAGTGCCCACCCCACTCCGCCCATCTGGCCTCACCCGTGTCCAGGGCCTCCAGGGCATTCATCATGCCATTGGCAAACTGGCTGGCATCCTCTTTGCTGCTGAAGTTGAGCCCCCAGACCTGGCGCGCATCCCGCCACTGGTGGAAGTTGGGCGTGGCCTGGTTGTACTTCAGCCCCTTCACGATCGGACTGTTGATGACCACCTGCAGAGAAACGGGCAGGGCTCAGGGGGCCCGGCAGGGACTGGGGGGGCTCCAGAGCTGGAGGAAGAGCTCTGGGTGCGAGTGACTCCGCTCCCCCGGACGCAGGACTGCATCCCGACCAATTCGTCACTTTGTTAACGAAGGATCGTAACGCAGGTAGAGGAGCCCCACTTACAAAAGTTACTTTAGTGACTGTTCAAGCTTACAGCAGCATGGCAAAAAGTGGCTTATAACCATTTTTCACATTTATGGCAGTGGCCGCATCCCCAGGATCACCTGATCAAAACTCAGCCTCTTGGCAACTGATTTGTATTTACGACGGTCGCAGTGTCCCGGGGTCACGTGACTCCCTTTACAAGCAAAGTCCACGGGAAATAGTGGTGGGTTCCTACCGCTTCGGACTGGTTCGGCCAAACCGGTTGTGGTTTGGCGGCCTGGGTCACTGGAACCGGCAGCAACCCAGGCCAGCCACGCCCCCCGACCGGCTCCCCACCGCCATCTTGTTTTTCAATTGCACCGCGCAAAGTGGCAGTAGTGCCTGCCAGAACCCACCCAATGGGGAAGCCGGATCCCCTTAAGAACGGCGATACCAACTTAACTGCAGTGATTCACTTAACAACAGGCTGTGTCAAGAAAGGTCGTAACTATCTTGCTTTGCAACAAAAGTTTTGGGCTCAACTTCTCAAGAGAACGGGATTTTAAATCGGAGGAGGAGGAGGAAGGAAGCGTGGAATTCTTCCCTCCACCCGTGTGGGCAGACAGAGGCGAAAATGGAGGGGCCCAACCCACCCACC